TTTGTCGAGGCCTAGCCTAAAACGAATATCAAATTATATTGAAGTAGTGGATTTAATCGTGAATATAATTACTTGTTTACGACTCTTATATTTTATCCATAAATGACTAGCCACTTAGACATTTTGTTGTGATGTGTACGCCTTTTACAAGTCGGAGAAAAAAAAGATTACAAGTTTATTTGTCATAAGACATTAGCATTAGGCCTATTCAATTTTTACGCGCTATTTGAAAATCCCTACGGGACGAGAATAATAATGTAGTGTTTAAAAATGAAATAGTCCTAATAGCAATGTCTTATGACAAATAAAATTGTAATTTAGACATTTTACGAAAAGTCTAAATACAAATACGTGATTTACTTTTCTACAGAATGGCTTAAGACTAGTTCTTAGCATCGGTTAAGAATTTAGAATCCTTCACCTACATATAGTCATCGCATAAGTCTTACCTGTATAGTTATCAGCATATTTCAAATCTCAGCTCCGACAGTGTTGACAATTGTTTATTTTTTAAATTTAGACATTTGTATTGTTCTTTCGCTAGACGGAGCTTTGAAGTCAAGTGATAGACATGTTTTAGTTACCAAACATATATGAAATTTTGTACTAAATCATAGGTTAATATATATTTTTATTCATTTGATTATAAATTTGCTAAATGCGATATTGATAAATTTGCCTTAAGCAGATGAAAAACGAAGGCTTATTAGGAAATTGTCTAACCCGAATAATTCAATCGTTATATTCCGTTTACTTCCGATAGGTGGAGTAACACCTAATTATATTTAAGACTATGTTCGTAAGACTATGAAATAATTTGATTAGATAACCATTATACACTTATAGATTTTAATTCTACTCGTATTTTCTTTCGATATACATGTTTCGAATATATTTGTCAACATCCATTTTGTGAAAAATAATACCAGAAATTGAAACCCAATGTTATGATTGCGCAAAATCATACAGTTCCATGTGTTTCATTGGTTACCTATTACAGATAACAGCTGATGTGCTTTTCTCATTAGGCGCATTCAAATTCTCGCAATTCGATCGTAGTGAAGTAGAGGGCGCTGAATTATTCGAATTAGGAAATTGTTAACATTACTAACGTAATCAGTTCCTCAAGTATACAAAAATAAAAATATTTAAGAATAAAAACTCACACGTATACTATGTTAGCAGGTTAACAATTTTACATTTAGATTGTGGAACGTAAAATTTCAAACTAAAATCTTCATAACTTTATCTTATATGTATGGCATTTAAGATATCAAAAACTCCATTAAAAATTTTTAAAACATAAAATGTATTTATGATTATCAACTTTTTCTGGTGCCCTTCAAAATTTAAAGTCTATAGATAATACTTTGTTCTCTATTCTAATAAGTTTATGTGTCATTTTATCTTGATCATCAGTGAATGTGTTAATATTACCTTCTGTTCTTCTTGCATCATATACTTTCTGTAAACCGGATTTAAGTTAACTCTTTATTGTTTGTTGTTGCTATAGAGACCTATCAACCTATAGTTCTTCTATACGAACAAAACTAAGATTATTCTCCATATATTTAGTCTTTTATTTGCATATTTTATTTTATTATTCACATCTTTTGTATGCTTTGGAATTGTATTTATTATTTTCTGTTTATTATTATGATTCTTAAGTAGAATACAATTTGATGTTTTAAAATGATACGTTTGTAAAAGGCCTAACTAAATCAGTTTGCATTGAATGATTATATATGAACATGATCCCACTTCAAGCACTGATTATAGAAACTGTATTTTACCATTGTATGATTATAGATTAACATGATCCCACTTCAAGCACTGATTATAGAAACTGTATTTTACCATTGTATGATTATAGATTAACATGATCCCACTTCAAACACTGATTATATAAACTGTATTTTACCATTGTATGATTATAGCTTAACATGATCCCACTTCAAGCACTGATTATATAAACTGTATTTTACCATTGTGTGATTATAGCTTAACATGATCCCACTTCAAGCACTGATTATATAAGCTGTATTTTACCATTGTGTGATTATAGATGAACATGATCCCACTTCAAACACTGATTATATAAACTATATTTTACCATTGTATGATTATAGATGAACATGATCCCACTTCAAACACTGATTATATAAACTATATTTTACCATTGTATAATTATAGATGAACATGATCCCACTTCAAGCACTAATTATATAAACTGTATTTTACCATTGTATGATTATAGATGAACATGATCCCACTTCAAGCACTGATTATATAAGCTGTATTTTACCATTGAATGATTATAGATGAACATGATCCCACTTCAAGCACTGATTATATAAGCTGTATTTTACCATTGGGTGATTATAGATGAACATGATCCCACTTCAAACACTGATTATATAAACTATATTTTACCATTGTATGATTATAGATGAACATGATCCCACTTCAAGCACTTTTGATATCTATTCTCCCAGGACAAGTTTGGCCCACGTGAAAACAATAATACTGCTGTAATATATTCTATCGTTGGGTGGGTTCTTTTGAATTATTTCACAAAAGGATAACAAATCCTTTCTTTCTTAACATATGAAACATGCTACTTACACTTATGCACAGTTGTAGGCCTACTTTTAACAACATTTATTTGTTAACCGACTGGTTAACTTAATACACTACAAACATTGAGTATATGCGACCACTCACTAGTTTCTCTGAACTCTTATTTACTACTAAAATGAATATTTCACTGAACTCTAAATCACTGAACGGAACCCTGGCACTTAGATACTTCACTAAATCATTGAACCGAACTCTGGCACTTAAATACTTCACTAAATCACTGAACCGAACTCTGGCACTTAGATACTTCACTAAATCATTGAACCGAACTCTGGCACTTAAATACTTCACTAAATCATTGAACCAAACCCTGGCACTTAAATACTTCACTAAATCACTGAACGGAACCCTGGCACTTAAATACTTCACTAAATCACTGAACTGAACTCTGGCACTTACATACTTCACTAAATCATTGAACGGAACTCT